ACTCTTAAGTAAAAATCCTTCACACAGGGTTATGATGCTACAAGTATTTTATGGCCTTGAATTCACAACCTCCTTTTTCATTCCTTATTTTTTATACACACCAGTAGTAACTTACTTGTCAATAAAATCAAACTCTTCTTATTCAGAAAGACAGCAATATAATTTTTCTCTTCAGATTGACTCTATGTCCCACGACCACAACAATAACTGCACACGTGGAACCCAAAGCACGTTGAACTTGAGGTCAAAGGAAGACTTCATGCTTCGATTACACACACGCTCCAGTTTGGGTGTAAAAAGCAAGTAATGTTTTTATGAATGAGGGCTAGGGGGACATTAAGCCTGAGCAGTGAAGTCAGATGAGCATATGCGTGTTGTGATTACAAGGTCCAGTAATGGTACTTGCAAAGGCAACAGGACAGCAACAGCTGTTACAAGAACCATGTTCCAAACATCTCTCTCTGTTTCCTTCTTCTTACAGATTTTCCCCTAATAATGGAATTACTGCAACAGGAACTCCATTATTATGGCACCGCTGTGTTGCAGAAGCAGCATTAAGGAATTTCAATTACACCAGGAATTTCTATCATCCCGTTGGAAGGCACAGATGATAGTAATAAAGCTGCTAGAATACTAACTGTGTACTGCTTCTCCTTTCTACTGATGTGGGTCACAACATTTCTACTAGTGCAGCCACTTCATAAAAACAGTCTTTAAGGAATAGGACTGGTATTGGTTACAGAGAAGTGATAATCAAAAAAATCTTCAGATGGGGCAAAATGGCTGGTGAAAGGAATGTGCTTGCTGTAAAAGCTGTCATATCCAAAAAGCTTTTTAAAAGCGCCTTCCGTCTTAGTGGGCACAGCATAGTTTATTACCTGGGACAGGTGACATATTACAAACAGAAGTCAAGTCATCCTACTGATGTTAACTTAGGAAAGTTCCTACAACTTTGCAGTAAAACACAGAGAAGGACTCCTATCACTAAGTGTGCTGAGGATCAAACAGCCTACTTCTGTCTGTAGCGGGTGCTGGAGAATGACTCTAAAAGTGCAACTATCTCTGCTCTCCTGCATTTTCTTAAATAATCAAAATAAATCTGCAATGGTACTGAGCTAGGGAAAACCTGAAGGGAGCCTGATGAGACAAAAAAAGTGAAAATCAGACGAAAAAAGCGATTTTCTGTCATTACTGAACCACTTTTTGGAGGAGAAGGCTACAGATGGATTTTAACTCCTGCTCAAGTTCTTTGGAGAGGGACAGTTACAGTTGCCTTTATGATTTAATGTATGTGTTTCCTGTGTATTTCCAAAGACATACTACCTTCAGCAACATGTTTTTATTAATACTTTCACAACTGTGAACCCCACACAGTCAAATAAGCTTTCTTCTTGCATCAAGTATGAAGTCCAAGTCGAAAAACCAATTAATCAAACTGCTGGAGTTTTTCTGAGGAAAATGGAGTTGCTTTGGCAGATTCCGCAACACAAATATACGAGAATACTTAATGCAGCCAGAATTTCTGTAAAATCACAGAATCACAGAATCACAGAATTTCTAGGTTGGAAGAGACCTCAAGATCATCGAGTCCAACCTCTAACCTAACACTAACAGTCCCCACTAAACCATATCCCTAAGCTCTACATCTAAACGTCTTTTGAAGACTTCCAGGGATGGTGACTCCACCACCTCCCTGGGCAGCCCGTTCCAGTGCCTCACAACCCTTTCAGTAAAGAAATTCTTCCTAACATCTAACCTAAAACTCCCCGGGCATAACTTTAGCCCATTCCCCCTCGTCCTGTCACCAGGCACATGGGAGAACAGGCCAACCCCCACCTCTCTACAGCCTCCTTTAATGTACTTATACAGAGCAATAAGGTCACCCCTGAGCCTCCTCTTCTCTAGGCTGAACAAGCCCAGCTCCTTCAGCCGCTCCTCATAGGACTTGCTCTCCAGGCCCCTCACCAGCTTCGTCGCCCTTCTTTGGACCCGCTCAAGCACCTCGATGTCCTTCTTGTAGCGAGGGGCCCAAAACTGAACACAGTACTCGAGGTGCGGCCTCACCAGAGCCGAGTACAGGGGGACGATCACCTCCCTAGCCCTGCTGGTCACACTGTTTCTGATACAAGCCAGGATGCCGTTGGCCTTCTTGGCCACCTGAGCACACTGCTGGCTCATATTCAGCCGACTGTCCACCATCACTCCCAGGTCCTTCTCTGCCTGGCAGCTCTCCAACCATTCCTCTCCCAGCCTGTAGTTCTGCTTGGGGTTATTGCGCCCCAGGTGCAGGACCCGGCACTTGGCCTTGTTGAACTTCATACAGTTGACCTCAGCCCATCGGTGCAGCCTATCCAGATCCTCCTGCAGAGCCTTCCTACCCTCGAGCAGATCGACACACGCACCTAGCTTGGTGTCATCTGCAAACTTACTGAGGGTGCACTCAATGCCATCATCCAGATCATTGATGAAGATGTTAAAGAGGACCGGCCCCAGCACCGAGCCCTGGGGGACGCCACTAGTGACTGGCCTCCAACTGGACTTGGCTCCATTCACCACAACTCTTTGGGCCCGGCTATCCAGCCAGTTTCTAAAATGAACCACATTTAACACTTTGTACCTGCTGTTTCAAAGCCATCATGGCCAAGACGGTGGAAATGCTGTTTCTGAAGAAACAAATTCTTCAGAGCACAAACTGCCACTCCTTTTTCCATAAAGGACATCTTAAAACCCTGCTAATGACATGAAAGCTGGCTGATCACAGCCTGCATTCAGCCTTTTGTCTACAGTTTGCAATAAAATTGTTTTTTAATTTGGACAGAGCTCTAACCACCACGTTCCATGCACACATCACCTCTACATTGCTAACTTACTGTGACTTACGTTGACATCTTCAGCTTCTGCTGAATGTGACACCTGAACATGTCTGTAGTCACATGTCACAAAAACATCAATCTTGCTCTTCCATTTTTAAAGCTACCAGAAATAGGACGTGCATCCAAAACAGGAATGGTACTTCAATCCAAAATCTTTGAGGACAACTTTGCTTTTCTTGTATAATGCACAGTGCAGGTTAGAAAGTCATTTAGACAAAGCCATTTACCCAGAAATAAAGTGTTTTCAAGGGCAACAGACAGAAATGTGTTTAATCAGAAGTTTCACTTTCATTTACTTTACATCTTTGGGCCCTTCCTATTTCAGGTTTATTCAGAAGATAAATATATTTTCCATATAGTGGTTTCTGTAACTAAGACAGTGATAACAACAGAAAAGAATGTCTTAAGATCTGACATGCATATGCACTTTTTGTGCAGAGCTTACAATTGTATCACCTTAATACTACAGAATAAAAAATAACTTAAATAACTAGATAACCAAGACCTATTTCATATTTCATCCCTGAAATTGGTTCATCTGCCTTATTCCAGAATATTTACAGTTTTGAGAGGGCGATAATCCTCTTTTGCAATTTACATATATATTTATTTTTTTTAATAATTTAACATCTAACAGAATATCTTTTAAAGGCATACAAAAGTCACGCAGGACAAGCATAACATTAAACAAGAATAGACAACACTGCTGATGCTTATATATAAAACCAGGTTTGAATTACTAAATTTAAGAAAAAGTGGAATAAAGCACTAGGTGACGCTCAGACAAAGCTATGTTTTTAAAGCCTAAACTTCCCAAAAGCATGTAACTTGCATTTAGGATTCTTTAAGAAAATTCTATAGTTAAAAATTGGCAGGTCCATAATTACATTGTCAAGAAATGGCATCTCAGCCATTTTTCCAAGAAAATAAACAGATGATTCCTCTTCCATGCTTGCCAAAATAAGATTAATTCAGTTGTCACCATTTTAGTTATGTAGCTTATAGTCTTAATTAATTACTATTTGAAATCTGTTCTTAAGTTAAGAGATTCATCTAAGGTGCAAAACTGAAAGATCCAACAAGCTGTATAAGTATGGAAAGATTTTGGGACAGATTTCCAACTCTGATTAAAAAATGTTGAGTTCAGAAAAAAAAAAGAAAAAAAAAATCCATAATGGCATTTGATAAATGTGCCCCCGAAGGGTTCACTTTATAATCCCAGGAATTTCTGGACAAGAAGATATTGGGAAGAGAGATTTTCATTGGACTTTTGAGTTTGAAATACTGTAACTAGCAAATGAGATGGCATATATTCCTACCTCCTCTATATAGTTTATCAAGAAGGAAGTATGACTAATAGCTATAATGTTGTCAGAAGACAGACAATTACCACAGGGTAATGAATGGAAAGCAAATTTCTTCTGCAGCAGAGCAGTAGAACACTAATTTGACTATATCAAATATAAGAAGGCAATCAAATGTCCGTAAAAATGTGACTCAGCCCTCATTCTGAGTTCAGGCCAAAGGAAGACTTTTTTTGTTCCTCATCTCTCCTTATAATGCTAGATGACTGTGATCCTCCAGTTAAAGCACCCCATAGTGCATATTACTTGAAATACCATTTGTTGGACCAATACTCTGAATAACTACTGAAACAGCAAATTCTTATTCTTGCACAGACACTTTAAGACCATCAATATTCGTGGTAATTTTCCTGATGATAGACTCAATATAAGGCTACAAGCATAGTGCTGTGTAAAAGCCTGATCTGTCACAAATTGCCCAAGAATCTCCATACACAGTATATGGTAGAGTAAAAAGTTTGAATTGGGATTAGCGAGCACCAAAAAAAGCGAATGCTGGCATAAGAAAGGTGGAGAACAGAAAATGCCAAAAGGAACTGAAACAGTCTGCTACAAGACCTTCCCAGAGCTGCAGCTAAGTGCTTTGGTAACAATGGTATTCAGAGTTCAAAAAAGACTTGGAATACCTCAGTGTCTGTGACAACAAATGAGTGAAACACTGAGCTCTCTTCAGAGAGCCCAAAAGTCTACAGAAGTTTGAACATATCACTGCTGCAGGAGCCGTAACTCCCATTCTGCCAAGGCATTTTGAGCAGTGTGTCTCCTTACTCCTGAATTAGGCTGCTATGCAGCCAGAAATACAGTATACAAAATGAGAAGGCAAAACTGGCCTCTGTTTGAATTTCAACTTTAAGAGCTGTCAGGTGGTTTTGCGAGTCCTCAGGGTCTATACACAGCTTCATACCCTGGTCTGACCATATGAAGAAAATCCATCTCCTTTGATGAGTTCGCCTTCCTTTTTGAACCTCAGACTGTCTGAAGAATGTAAGAAGTGCCCTACTGGATGGGAACAGAATCCATCCAGCACTGGGTCTGGTCTGCAACAGCGGCAGGTGGAAAGGCTGTTGTGGTAGAGCAGAGCCCGTTTTTTTTCTGTGGTTTGCTCCCTTTGTGCTTGTTGTACTACAGATGATGGAGGACACATTCATGCGTGGTCTTTTTGAATCCATTTATGGACAAGTGGTCTCATGAATTTGTCTAAATGCTTTTGAACTGCTGATCTGTTAACCTGGATACCGAACCTCCATTTAAATGGCACTTTAAAAGCTTTTCTTAAATAAATAAATAAAATCTGCGGAAGGGCTTGACCAAGAGCCCTTGCTGCAGGAAAAAAAAAAAAAAAAACTGGAATTGTTATTAAGTTTATAACAGTTTTGTGACCATGACAGTTGTCTTTCATGTGGAGCTGATTTTGTGACATATATGATATCTATTTGCCTCACACTGTGCAATCGATATTACTGTGTACTTTAATTTTTTCTTCACAGGAACATTCAATTAGGCGGAATATTCAGTAACCAGCCTCATATTAGTAATGATTTTCTGTGTCCATACAGGCCTGCTGGAGGTCACTGCAGGGGAAGACAGAAGAGCAACCCATCTCTGCCTACAATGAGCAATGCCAGACCAGGGAAGGAATATGCTATTTCATCTTCTTCTTGGGAGGCTCTGTGGAATCTCTCTTGCTAGAAAAATTGTGCAAATGCAATGTGTAGCACTGTCACATTTTTTCTACAGAAGCAGAGAAGAATCAAGGGAATCAATACTACTACACTGTAATTCATCCAATTAATTATGTATCAGTGTAGAAATATTATTAAATCTCCATTTCAGAATAACTGATCAATTCAAGGAGCAATAACACTAAAAGTCTATCCTGAATTGTTCCCCAGAAATCAGCAAGGATCCTCCTACCACTTTTCATCTCCATATGAACATTACCCATTAAGCCTCTTCGCTTATTCTATACCCTTCAGTACCAGTCCACTGTTTGGTCTTTTCCTCCTTTGAAATTAGTCAGACTAGGTTTATGCCCATAAAGTCTTACTGGGAGAAACATGACTCAGCTGTAGGGCAGCTATACATTATTAATTAATGCTTAGTTTTCAAATAAACCTTCTTGCTAGCTTGTACACCACTATTGTTTGTTTTCAACCACAGAAGTTCAATCTATCACAGAAAATTTTAGATTGAAATAAATATTCACCCAGCTTTTCCGTTCTTAGATTTTTCCCTCTGAAACAGCCTTCCAATCCATGCTGGTAAGATTCCCTTTCCTCAGGAAGTTGTACTAATAATTTTCCAAAAATATTAGCAGGGGATCCATAGCAACTGTTGATATGAGTCAAAGTGATTTAAGAGAGATCTTAGCAACCTTCTGTTAAGATATACTGTATACAGCCTCCCCCACTTAGCAAAATCCCACAATATGGCAAGAAAGATTTGTATGTCTAAGAATAGCTACCTACACACATTTTTCAAGATGACTGAGCCATAATGATTTAAATCCTCCCTACCACAGTTTCAGCAAGATGTGCCTCTACAACACTATATCAAAGTGTTCTGTTCAGAGTTTTGAATCTTCTTCCTTTTTTAAATCACACCATTAACATCCTTGACATTTTAGAAATAATGTTTATTGATTTTTCTGTTAACATTGCTATAAATTAAGTGATGTAATGGACAGGATTATTGAAGTTCTATAAAGAATATGTCTTTCAGATTCTTAACTACATATTGAAAAAGCGCAGACTCTGGAAAAATACTGCAGTTCTGTGCTGTTCTTGGGAAGTTTTCATTTGGATGACTACTTTTTATGTGACAGAATAGACATATAACAGAGATGATATTACAACTACCTGCTAAGTACCACATGACAGGAGAAAAACATCTGATTTAGGTGAAATTGAGAAATAAACAATAGTAACAAATCAGACACAGGAGAATTCCTTATCACTTGCTGTTCTGAAATTTAAAATCTGTGGGACAGGGTTGCAAATATTCCATTTTGTAGTAGAAGTGTTGTTAGTAAATGCAAATAGCTTTCTTCATTGTAGATGAGGATTCATAAAAGGGCTGAATAGACTGAACATGAAGATGCATGCACAGTGCAGAAGGAAAACAGCACAATCATCTTCAGCCTCATTCAATTAGCATTGGTGTCAGCAGCCCACACCTTTCTGTTTTAAGGGTTACACAAGGTGAGCCTGTAAGCTAAGACCTGGAACAGCGTGGAGGATCTTTTAACAGACTACCACATAGACAACAATGATCTACCACATTTAGGAATTTAATATAGCCCTGAGATTAAAGACTTGCAACTGTCCTCACAAAGTACTGCATTGAGAGTCAGTATCAGAATGTCTGATGTCTTTTTTTTTTTTTTTCTGGGGTGACAGCAAAGCACTAGAAGAACCAAAACACCAACCTATTGGCAGCAAAAACAGAACCGACATACAATAAATGAACTTTGTCCACTCCCATGGTTAGGAGGAGTGCCCTGCAGGCAGAGCCCTAAATCATATTTTGATAACAGAAGCATCTGGGTCTGAAGAGGTTTTGGTAAAACCTGATGAGGGACAGGGAATGAGCAAGGCAGCATGTGCTCTGTTAACTTCCATGATCTTTCAGAGTCCTGACTCACAGATTAGTTTTTTAGACTGTTTCTACAGAACCTTCAAGTCACCAAGCCTTCATTCTTGTTTTATTGGGCAGTTTTTCAACTGCTGAGCCTCCTGTAATAATGCAATTCGATTTCTATCCTTGGATGTTTGATTTTACATTCCATCATCACGAAGCATTGATTAAAACTTAGCAGATTTACTTGATTGTGTTTATGACTTTGTTTTCTCAGGGCAAGGTCAGGGTTTATGACAACATGACACTCATAAAAAACAAAACAAAAAAAATTTTTTGGTGATGCTTGTTTCCTGACTGTGATCAGATCTATTCTTCAACTTTTAAAATCATCTTGTTAGTTTGCTTAAAAACAGAAAAAAGTAACTGAGACATGGACTGGCACAAATGAGAAGAAGCAAAAATGAACTCGGGCACATATGTTCAGGGATTTATATCCAAAATTCTCTAAAATTCTCACTTTGCTTCCTCCTAGCCTTTGGAAGACCTGTTTCTCAGAGTGCTAAGTCCCCCCTCACAGAAGAAGAAAACATTTTTCTGCTACTTGCCATGGGCATAAACAACTATATCTGGAGAACATAAACCTCTGGCCTACACCCCAAACTGAATCCCACAGCCATCCACACAACATGCCTACCAAACCTGGTATTGTACAAAACATACCAAAAAGAAAGAAGAGATGGCCATTATATCCCGCTTTACTCTACAAGCAAGTAAAGAACTAATCTGAGACACGAGACCTAGATTCAGATTTCTTTTCTTCTTGATTTAGAGTAAAGCTCTTAACTTCATAGGAAAGTAGCCACACCACTGTACCACTGAGCTGCATTTTGGAGGTGGGAATGTGTCACTCTTCCCTGCTGAAGTTGTTCTGTGCACATTTTTATAAACACCCCCCAGCACAAAGACAGGATGAAAATGGCTAGTGCCTTCACCCATTGTCCAAACCAATAAATATTCTACTATTTTGTAATAAGTTTTGGAAGGTGCCTGGAAAATAAATGGGTCTTCTTAGTTCACCTTTTAATAGGTAACTATATGCATCATCAGGCCATAATTTTGAAAAGCAAGTATGTAAAAATTAGAGGACAAAATCTGCTATTCACAGGTACTTACCTTAATACTCTGTATTGTCAACTTCTACAAGAAGGACCAAATACCATGTAATTTCAGGACAGAAGTTCTAGCTATAAACATAAGTTACATTTAACTGCTGCACATCTCCCATTCATGCTGGAGAATATTTCCAAAACAACAAAAGTTAAACTAATAAACCTTTACCTTTACAGATAAACTGAAAAACTGAAACTTTGTTTTAAATTTCTGGTTGTTAAATAATGCACTACCCTGTCATAAAATGTGCTCACTTTAAGATTAAGATTTCTCCACCTTTGTTTCAGGTCTATTCTCTGTTCTCCACTGTTTGTTTTGGATCCTTTCTCCTGTTCTTGTGGTCTTTCTTTTCAAATTGTCTCATCATTTAGCATATCACCAAGACATGTTTGGACTTCTGCTGATTTACTATGCCTCTGGTGTATCATATCTGGATTTTAAAGCAGTGAACCTGCCGTTCATTTACACGAAGAAGGACCATTACGTTGGAGCTTTTTTACACAATACCACTATGTATCTACCTAAAACTGTACTGGACTTCTCTGCTAAATATAAGAGCATATGTGAGAGAAATGTGTCTCTCTTGCTGCCATCCCTTATCACGATATACTTCATCATTCCTTTCTATAGACTTTTATTCACATTTACCGTAAATTTTTTTTTTAGCTGGATACTTTTGCTTGGAGGTTTTGGAGAATGCTCCTGGGTTGTTTTTTTCCTGTTATTAATTGAAATCTCTCCAGTGCTATTTTTACATTCATCCTATTTGCAAGGCTCAGGAAGTGATTGTCCCTCTGTACTTGGCTCTAGTGGAGCCGCACTTCAAGTGCTGTGTTCAGCTTTGGGCCCCTCACTACAGGGACATGGAGGTGCTCAAGAGAATCCAGAGAAGGGCGATGAAACTGGTGAGGGGTCTGGAGAACAAGTCCTACGAGGAGCGGCTGAGGGAACTGGGGTTGTTCAGCCTGGAGAAGAGGAGGCTCAGGGGAGACCTCATTGCTCTCTACAGATACCTGAAAGGAGCTCGTAGCAAGATGGGGATTGAGCTCTTCTCCCAGGCACCAAGTGATAAGACAAGGAGAAACAGCCTCAAATTCACCAGGGGAGGTTTAGATTGGACATTAGGATAAGTTTCTTTACTGAAAGGGTTGTGTGGCATTGGAATAGGCTGCCCAGGGAAGTGGCTGAGTCCCTGGAGATCTACAAGAAACATGTAGATGTAGAACTTAATAGCATGGTTTAATGCTGGACTTGCCCCTATTAGGTTAAAGATTATACTAGATGATCTTAGAGGTCTTTTCCAACATGAATGATTCTATGATTCATGACATTTCTGTCTTCCTTTGTAAACACCGATTTTTCTTACTTGTCATTAAGGCCAATACATAACTAGCTTAGGAAGTACATTAAAAAGTCAGGAAAAAAACAGGGATGGCAGTCTGAGGTGCCCAGAAGATCCCCTAGGGCATCCTAATTCATGCTGAATGGGACAAACCAGCTGAGGGGCAACTGAGGAAAGCTTTCTTTGTATTTCAGGAAAGTTATAACAGGCACTCAGAAAGGAGCTTCTTCGAAAGAGTACGTTTCTAAAATCCACTAATTCAAAAATGCAAAGTGACATTCTTTCAGAATACGTAGAGAGTAATAGCTAATGCAGGATATCCTCAAAAGCATCTACAAAATTACAAGGAAGATATTCAGGACACAGACATGCCATGTCTGCAACTCCCTTTCTGACTCTTCAAAAAGAAGCTAAAATCACAGTTGGCAACAGTTCTGAAATGCAACAGTAATCCATAAATACTCCTTAATTTTCCTGTCATTGCAGAATTAAGCTACTTCCAGCTAACACAGATCTTACCAGGTGTGCTAAATTGATGTCATTATAAGCCATCAGGAAATACCCACAGAGACCTGTAGCAACATTTAGAAGTTTTGTTAAACAGCTGTGTGTTATAATTGATTTGTATTATTTAAAACAGCTAAAGCAAGTTATCTCCGGATGTAGAAAAGGGATGACTGAAGACTCCAGGGAGATTTAACTCACATGAAAGCCAATCACAGGAACTTCATTTGAGCATTTTAAGATTATTACTAGAGGAAGTGCAATTAAATCATCACCATTTATCAATTATCATTATAAAATACTATGCAACCTTATCATACTAATTTATTTATGAGAAGGTAACTAGTTGGCTTCTGCTTACTGCAGTAAAAATAATCTAGTCAGTAAAAATATCTGAAGACGCTTTCTCTGAAAATGAACATGCCTTTCAAATAATAATCAAAAGTAACAGAAAAGTTCAAAGTTTTATTTAAATTTGTTTTCAATTATATTGGTGATATAATTGCCAAATAGCTAAACTCTTCAAAGTTCATACTATGTTTCAGTTCCTGATCTCTGCTATATTTTGCCATACAGAGTATAAGACAAAACATAGTTGTATTACAACTGTACACTGGCATGCTATACACATTTCATAAAACACTTAAAATGTAAGTCCCAAATGCTTGGTTGAACATCCTGGGTCTGTGATTAAAAAATGGCAGTAAGAATTTTTTTCCTAATCTGTCAACTCTTGAATTGAAGTCCAAAATCAGCCTTTGTTAAAAGGTAAGTAACATTACCCTTTGATAGTTGTCTGCTCTTTTTTTTTTTTTTTCCCCAGTGGTGAACTGCTCGTAGAAGTTTTGCTCTGTTTTGGAGCAAAATCCTGAACCTTCTCTCTCTGCTGTCCACGTGTACTGAGAGTTCAAGCCTGTTTTGGTGAGTTTGCCCAGTGACTTGCATTACATGATCTATGTCCCTGCAGGCAAAGCCTAACCCACATAGCAAAATTGGTCAGCAGAAATGCAGGAGAAAAAAGAAAAAAAAAAACAAAACAAAACAAAACAAAAACACTTGGTATTTCAGTTCAGAACCCTGGCCCACTTGAGGGCAAAAAAACACTTTTTCTTGCAGACCTAACTCCCATTTTGATCTGAGCCTTGCAGGCTATTGCTTACTGTAAGTTTTTATTATCTTTTGTAATTCCTTTGAGAATGCTCTGATCTTCACTGCTGTTTTCTATTTGATCTGGCATATGTATCTCTCAATTTACAAGGGGAAGTGTTTGTTATACCAGCAGTTGTTGGCACTTAAAATACAATACTGTTGGCACTGTTAATTGTGCTGGTGCTTTGCCTCCCCTCAGACTCAGACAGAAATGTATGCACAAAACCATGCACTCCCTTTGTCTTCTTATCACCTGGCTGGATGGCCAGTGCATCCTCACTGCCCGGTGCCTGTGTGCTTTCATCTAAAATTAAAACTGTAGACCTCTTAAAGCGGCTTTCCCAGAGGCTCTCTCTCACAGCCATGTGGGAAAGTACACATTTTCAATCCAGGAATGCAGCTGGGGCCTTTGGACCCGGTTCAATACTGATGTGAAGCAGGCTAACCTCCCTCAAGTCAGCAGAATTCAACAGCCGTAAGCCACAGGTACATGGTATTCAGGGAAATGAGGTACATACAAAAGGCATAGGAATAAAAAAAAAAAAAAGGTAAATTAATTCCAAATCACTCATGGAACTGCTGGAGGATCTTACCTTCTACCTGCCAGCAGTTCCAATACTATGCTATCAGCCTGAGGCACAGTCCACATTATTTTGGGAAAAAGCAGTTTAACTTAGTCTGCAATGACTTATTTAATGGAATATCACCTCAGTGTTATGTCCAGTAGTGTTTTGCTGCTGTAACTCCGCTAATTTCTCCAAAATGTTTTTCTTTATATCTTAGTTTCTGTCACTGGACTCATGGGCTGAACCACTTCTGGAAAGGTGCCGCAGAGACAAGAGGCTCAGCACACCACACATTTTACCAACATAAAACCTGTTCCTGCAAGCCCCTGCATGCATGTATCTCACACACTTACTTCCCTAGTTAACAGATGCAGGCCAGTTTTACTTTACTGTATCTTAAGAGGCAAAAGTAATCTCCAGGTGGGAGTGACCTGCTTTTCCTTTTGGCTTCCATCACTCTGATTTTACACATTTCAAACATATTATTTTCGCTTTATTCTCAGTAGTACTGCATTATGATTTATTACCTACACTGTGCTGTGGGTTTTTGCAGTGCTTTGCAGACAAATAGAAAGAGACAGTGCTTTCTATAGAGGAGCGTGAATGTGGCTTCAGGCCACAGTATGATGTGTAGAAGTGTAGAGAAGGAGTAACACCTCCGGAGTGCAGATAACAGACTCTCCTATACATTTTTGCAGGTGGGACTGTAAGCTATCCACAAGCCAGAACAGCTCATCTGGGAAATACCTGAGATGTCAGCCCCAAAGGATTCCTAGCATCTGCCTGTAATTAAGAGTTACTGGTCTCTATCTACCAGCAATGGATTTTCAAATGGATTGAAAGCAAAGTTAATTGAATCCTCTGCCTTTCTATGCAGAAATGGTCATGATTTAGCTCTGAATCTTAAACTTGAGCTATGAATCACAAAACTTTACAATCTGAACTACAAAACTTTCTTGTGCAGAAAGGGAGTTATCAGCTAATCTATTATTTTATTAAATCTAATTTTCTCATCTTCATTCTGTAGGAGACAACCCAGATAATTAATACTTTATTTAAAAGCATCTATTATGACAGAATCTGCAAACTCACAATTAGAATTCAGAAATGCACAACAAACATCTGAAAACCAATGCCTGTTAAGTTCTCAGGGAGCTATTATAATACAAATAATAGTCTGTGGCTGCAAAAACATTAACGTTGCCTGTGTTCCCATGATTGAGTGCCATTTAAAAATAGGCATCCTGTAATTAAGTTGTATTAGTTGAATTATGGAAACACCTGTAGACCTCAGTTGAGGTTATACTCCTGTTGCACCAGCTGCTCCCGTAAGAGACCTGTGTACCTGGAAGCAGCTAAGATCAAGAAGCCAGTGATGGAAGTGGGGAAAGAAAGGAGACATTGGTATCTTCCTCTGATGATAAAAAACCTCACACCTGGAGAGTTCCCACTCTTTGTCCAAACTTGCACTGGAGGCCTGGAGCTGAGTGGAGAACCCAGAGTGCACAGCTCAGCTCTGAGCCACATCTTCCTGGGCACAAACGGGACTGTTTTCGAGACAGCCACCATCACAATTCTACGAATAGGACATAAATTGCTGAAATAATCTAGTGACTTTAAGACCACTTCAAATAAAAGTGATTTGAATACCTCTAAAACAAGGCACTGATAACAGAGTTTACTAATCTGCTTCCTCTTGTAAAACATGGTGTTCATTAACCACTGATTCTTAAGCACATTAGTCAGTAACAACATATTATTTGATTGAGAGACTAATTTTCTCTCCTTCAATTCTTGGGATTGCAGGTCTATTTAAAATTGAAAATTACACAGTCTTTTTGGTAATTTGATTAACAGACAATCTTTGAACTATTACACCGCTATATTTTACTTAAGTAAGCAAGTAAGTCTATTTTTATAGTTGCCAAAAACCAAAATTACTTAGAAATTATCAGTTTTCAGGACTGGCTTTTGAGAAGGATTTTAAACGAGAGATATGGTCACACTAAGTCTTATGTGGTGAACATCTATGTATTCTTCAAAATCCAGGTCTGAAACTGTTGTTCATAACTGGCTCAACAGCACCTCAGTAAGACTTGTATATATTTTATTTGTGTCCGGGAGAGAAATAAGGCCATTGAGGATTTGGGCATATATTGCAACCATCAATTTTGTAATGGACGAGTGGCTTCTCACCTGCTGTGTAATAGTGTCCCAGGGCCCCTCCAGCAGACGAGCCTGGTAGCACGCATGAACACTTTTCCATATTTCATCCAGAGTTAGAGGTCTTCCATCTGTGGTAGAGGGGAGGGGAAAAAGCACCCACAGTCAGAGCTCTTAAGCAGGCTATATCTTTAATAGAGTACAGCAAAAGAAAATCTGAAAATACTGATTATCTGCAGACAGATGGAAAAAACAGCAGAATGTGACTGAGCTGCTTCTGGCCTCAAAACTCCAGAACAGTAATGCTCAAATCCTAACTGGATGTGTGTATAAAGCTAGCCCAAATTCTCAAAACTATCCTATACTTCTCCATCCCCTGAGAGGAACAACTCACTTTCCCAGTTTCAAGTTGTAAAGTTAAACTAACTTTGTAAAACAATGCTTGAGTAAGAGAGATTAAAAACCACAGAATAGTATCATTAACAGTTATTTCATGTAAATACATGTAATTCATAGTGAGAGAATGGAAAAAAATGCAAGGAACAAAATTATGCAGTCAAAAGTTCACTGCCCTTTGGTAACTTAGAGGACTTTTTTTTTTTTCTTTCCTTGAGACATATTTTGAAACATCTGAGACATTAAGACGTTTTTTTCTTGAGCCACATTGTCACAGCACATTTCAGCGGTGATGTTAGAATTATGCCAAGGTATTACCACTTTGAAAATAATCATGTCAATTTTTTCAGAATATTTGCTTTTGACAAATAGAAATAGGATATTTTGATATACTTTCAATAAGTTGCTTCATCGTAACATCTATTAGGTGTCAGAGACCATTATCCTGTGATAACTAGTTTTATTCTACTGACATTTTCATGTCTGTAAAATGAACAAGATTTATTCATCCAATTAACATTTGAATGCCATGTTTAGATGTAAGTTAAAAACAGCTGCCTACAGTCTCTGTTTTATCTTATCTTCTGCATGCATTGAAAAAACTGCACCAAGTTCTGCCCTTACTTAAGCACCATATAACAGAAGCATTAAGATGTGCAGCAAATGAAGTATCTGCGAAGGCAACAGAATATTAAGTAGATACGCTATGCCATCCTCAGGAACATGAGACTTGCTAGACCTGCATCTCCCCTGTCCTGTGATGGCAGATATCAAAGTTGTTCTGGCAATAGTCTAACACTTGCTAAGAAATTTGTTACTAGAGAGTAAGTGAAGTTTAGGAGGAAATAGTTATGCTCAGATCATCTGTGTACAAATAATACAAAATACCATAGATACTTGCAATTTTCTGTTTTCTATACAACCTGCAAAGGCAATTCAGAGTGAGTGTAAATGGAAATCTAAAACAACATACATTCTAATGAAAAATTTGATTTACCACTCTAGATTTTGCCCTGTACATCTCTGTGAATTTTTATAGCAACATTTGAGCAAATTGAGATAGAATGGATTACTCTGACTAACCATCTCATTTATAGAAATTATCAAATATGGGAGCAAGGATTAATCACATAGTTAAAAATTACCTGCGTTTTGCCTCATGGGTCTTATTACTTTGTGTATGAAAAGCAGCATACTGTCCATCATATTTTGGTATAGAATTATTTTCGTTTTGGATAAAAATACATATAAACTAAAACCAGAAGTTTTGCATCACACCAGAGTGAGATCACAGTCAGATATACACTTCAATAGTTATTATAAACTAATTGCAGCGTTTCACTTAAGAATAAAAATTGATCTGGGCATTCTGATCAGGCACTTACATATTGAAATACCCTTGGATTTAAGCCTCCCTACATTCGGAATTTTCTGCACAATTATAATATGTTTCACTAAGCTTTAAATGAGTATAAAGTCCTTTTTTTTTTTTTTATGTTGTTTTGTTTTTAGTAAGACTTCATACATACTCCCAAGTATTGTATTCCTATAAATTCTCATCTGACTGACTAACTCAGTTTCCTAGAAGACGGGAATACAAATACAGCAGGAAAGAATGACTTATCAATACTTAAAATGGACATGAGGTTTAGCTTCACAGCTGGGAACTGTAAGACCCTTGCAAAAAGACAGGTGATTAATGGGTAGTTTTCCCATTGCTTTTTGCAGGATGAAGACCTCAAAGTCTGTCATTTTTCCCTCTGAATGAAACTTAATAAACAAAACAAAACTAAATAAAATAAAAGTTACACTAAGATCTCAAATGACTAATAGAAGTCCTAGTATGTTAGATAGCAGCTGGAAGTGAAGAAGAGTTTTAAGTTTTTGTAGTCTGCTTTGTTCTTCCTCCTGTTTCTGTATCAAAAGATAAGTATGGATGATAAAACTCATCTCAGGTCATCTGACTGGAGCTGTGTTACATGTTTTAAAAGTCCTCATTGTGTGTGAATTTCTTTATTTGTTTATCATATAATCACAGAATGGTTTGGGTTGGAAAGGAACTTAAAGATTAACTGGAACACTGCCAGGGATGAGGCATCCACAGCTTCTCTGGGCAGCCTGGTCCAGAGCCTCACCACCTTCAGAGTGAAGAATTTCTTCCTCATATCTAATCTAAATCTATGCTCTGCCATCTTAATGCCATTCTCCCTTGCCCTCCCCCTACACCCCCTGACACAGAGTCCCTCCCCAGCTTTCCTGCGGCCCCCTTTAGGCACTGGCAGGCTGCTGTGAGGTCTCACTGGGGCCTTCTCTTCTCCAGGCCGAACAAACCCAACTCCCTTAGCCTGTCTTCTCAGGAGACATGCTCCAGCCCCTTGATCATCCTTGTGGCCCTCCTCTGGACTCGCTCATCCCTGTCCTTCTTGTGCTGGGGTCCCAGAGCTGAGCACAGGCTCCAGGTGGGGTCTCACAGTGCAGAGCAGAGGGGGACAATCCCCTCCCTCGCCCTGCTGCCCACCCTGCTGTTGGTGCAGCCCAGGGTGCGGGTGGCTTTCTGGGCTGCCAGCACACATTGAATCATTTAGGTCGATATAAGTGAAGCCACGTTAATCCCAATCTCCCATTTTGGCACAAAACACACTTCTGTATTCTTTGGGCACTTTCAGCCCACTGTTTTCCAGGGCTGCCAGCGTTCACGTGTCTAGGGGCTGATGGAGCGGCCTGTAATTGTTGCTGCTAGCAACAAGGGGCCACGGCGGCACCCGCTGAGCCAGGCGGCCGCTCTGCCTCTTGTGGCGCCGCTTCTTGTCACGGAGCCGAGCTCCCCACGTACAGCCAGAAAAACAAGGCGACGGCAGCAGCGAGCAAAGAGAAGTGGCAGGAGAGGAAGGCGCAGGCATCAGTTTCACCCTGCAGTGCATTTATCCACCATCCCCACAGGGTGACGCAGATGCTGAGGTGCCTGCCTAAGCCCCAAGGTGCTCATCCTAAACCCTGTCCCAGGTATAGCTGGGAGCAGGTGTGTTGACAGAATCAAAAATTCGTGGTTATACGCATGCTTTGTATATTTCACCTCATTAAATAATCACACCAATTGCCACAGAGAGCAAAAGGAAATTTCTACCACACTGCAGTCGGTAGCTGCCTGTGGGTCATGCCAGATTTACCCTACCCTTGACAGGCCACAAGCCTGGCACACAACACGTTATCCACTCATCAGTGCTAGGACAAAATGCAGACTCTGATGCAACAAGAAGGGACAAAAGAGCCTGGGAGACAACCAGATGAGATACTTTTTGAGAAAGAAGCTGATGGATAAGAGTCAAGAACTCCTAATACTGGTACTACTTCTGCCACTCACTATGGGCTTGAATCAATCAGTTCGCCTGCTGTAACAGTCAGACAAGAGTAACTACAGCATTCCTATCAGAAACTCTGATTTTTATTATTTAAACTGCCTTGTTAATAACAAACACTTGCTTCAAAAGGCTTGGTGAAGGTCCAGTTGGGGTTAACTTGTTTTTATCACCAGAAGTACAAAATAATTAAAAAGCAGATTTTCTTTTAACAAAATTTTGCACATGTCCAAAACCATGATCCAGCCCTTTCTTACAGAACAAGGTCTTAAGAAGAGACATTTTTCTGAGAAAGGAGAGAGTGCTTTTGACTTCACAAAGTAAGTCTGATTTCTGGAAAGTGCATCCATCAGGCTCAGTACTGTTATGAACACAGAAAGTCATGCCTTCAGGGTTGGAGGAAGCTACATTATCTTCCAAGCTGTCTCTCTCTAACCACTGATTAGCATGGTTTTTATTGGCAGGGATCTATCTGTATTGTCAGAAAGCTAAACATATTTTGAGCAGGTCAACTTGAAAATCCCCTTTCTTCACTCTTTCCTAGGTGAGCTGGGGTGCAGTCTGTGTTGACTCCCATTACTCCTGCTCTTTCTTTTTGGTGCTTAGTCAGTATTCACGAATCTTTCTCTAGCTTTGCAGGAAAAAGAAGCAGCAAAGTGTGAGACAAGCCTTTTTTTTCTTGACATACAGGGTGTTTCCTGAATGATACCTGTGTCCACCTGTGATTTTGTTACTGCTACCTCACTGTCAGTGCAAGAGGTGTTTTTATGTAT